TGTGGAGTGCCCATTTGCTGAAAAATCTGTTTAGCCTCTACGTGGCCCCAATCTGCAGATTTAGCTATCCACAGATGTGGCCACAGGTAGCTATTACAATATAATATATTGCTAATAGCTGACAGCAAGTTCAGGCAGGTAATTCTGTAGCTAGGTCAGAGGTCCCCCATCTTTTTAAGACTGTGGACACATTTGAAATTCTGAAACACAGAGAGCATCACTTCCGGTCTTGACAACAGCAGGTTTCAGCGAGAACGCTCCTCGGGACACCGCTGAACACTCACTGAAACTCCCGACTTTCCTTATGACTTTCCTTTATCTTGCTGAGTACCCCTTAAGGGGGTCTCTGGGCAAGGAGCTCGAACTGAGAGACGGCGGGGATGGCAGTCTGCACACAAACTGGGTATTGCTCTGAAGCAGGAAGTTTCACATTGAAGATTAGTGAAGACTAGGAAACCACAGAAGACTCTCCATATCTGTTTTTTTAAAAAAATTTAAGTTAAAATACCGTTTGGCGAAGAAGACTAGAAACTGTAAGCTGATTTCTTTCCCTGCTGGTAATGAAGTGGAGTGGCAAAAGAGAGAGATGTCCCCTTTAAGCTGTGCCAATTAAGTTCAGGGGTGGAGCAAAAGGAATTCAAGGGTGAGTTGCTTTTTTTAAAATGGCGTCTGAAAGTCGCACGAACTCAAACTTTTGGGTGGAATAGTAGCTAGGGCAAACAAATAGGGGAAATTAGGAAGCCCTTCTCTATTACGTAGCAGTGGTGGTGATAGGCTCTCATCCTTTTCTTTTCTCCCTCCCCCCCTGTTTTTCTTCTCCATGAATTCTCCTTCGCTGTGAGCTTGTTAGTTGCTTTTTGTGTGGTGAATGGGCGGGAACTGAGCACGGGAGAGACAGGACTCCCATGGGAAGAAGGTAACTGAGGCAACAGGACAGAGAGCTGAGAACAACGGGAGTGAAAACAATAAATAACAATATAACACGCAGGTGGACGAAGGAGAAGAGGGCAGAAGGAGGACATAGGGGGAAGTAAAAATGACATTGGGGTAAAATTGAGGAATAAGACTCACTCAGCAAATTAAGAAACACCAGACAGATATCGTATGCCTCCAGGAAACGCATATTAAAAAAGATAACAAAAACTTATTAGAGTGTAAGAAAATCGGGGAATGCTTTGGTTCAGAGCAGATACTCAAAAAAGAAAAAGTTTCTTCAACCTGAATTGGTGTTTGAATCGGACGATGGCAGAATTGTGATGATTAGAATTCAAAGACAAACCAAATCAACATTAATAGTAAATATCTATGCTCCAAATCAGACGCAAGAAAATTTTTATGATTCTTTAAGAGAAATCATTTCAATACAGACCTTTGATGACATTTGTATAATAGGGGACTATAATGCGGTTTTTGATGGTAAAATAGACAGAAAGAAGCAGACAGGCAGACAGAATCGAGGAAATGAAATCCCAAAAGCCTTCTTACAATTAACAGAACAATTTTGTGTTGTGGTGTAGATGCATGGAGAATCAAGAACATTAGCAAAAAAGACTACACATTCTTCTCGGCCAAACATACATCCTGGTCGAGACTAGATATGGCCTCGAACTCAACAACACTAATAGATGAGATCTTAGATTTTGAGATTCTACCATCTACCTTTGCGGACCACAACCCATTGCTGTTGACATTACAAGACTCATTTAGGAGGAAAAGATGGTCCATGAATACGTGGCTTCTGAACAATAAAGATTTTGTAAAAGAATTGAAGGAAGACTTTAATGAATTTTTTAATTGCAACATTCAGCCTGAGACACCTATTGATACTGTCTGGGATGCCTTTAAGGCCTTTGCAAGAGGTAAGATTATCAGTCAAGAAGCCTGGCTGAGAAAACAAAGAAAACAGAAATTTGAACGGATACAAAACCAAATTCAAAAAGAAGATAAACTGAAAGAAAAACCAACTTTGGAACAACTAAGGAACAAGATTAAAAGACTACAACACCAACTAAATTGTATCTTGACTCAAGAACTTGCAAAGATATATGAATATATGAAACAACAATATTTTGAGAATGCAAATAAACCAACTAAATGTTTGGCATACAAACTAAGGAAAGAGAGAGACAAAAATGTATAACATCATTAAAAAATGAACGAGGAGAAGAAAAATTCATTCTTAAAGATTTGAAGATTATAGAAAATTTCTATAAAAGGCTATACCAACAAAACGAAGAAGAGCAATATCTAATACAACAATTCTTTCAAAAAACACAATATAAAGAAATTTAATAAAGATCAAAAGAAAATATTAAATGACCCCATAACAATGTTTGAAATAACTGAATCAATTAAAAGATTAAAAAGGAAGAAAATGCCAGGCCCAGATGGTATTCCAGTTGAATTTCATCAAACCTTTGAAGACCAGATAATATTACCGTTAAAAGCTACTATGCAAAATATTATCCAGATGAAGAAATTACCAAACTCTTGGAATGAAGCCTTAATCACATTGATTCACAAACAAGAAACAGATGAGAAATAAATAAATATGGTTTTCCCTTGTATGGTCGCGGCCCCGCCCGCAGCATGCCCGGCGTCATGATGTCACTTCCCTGTGACGTGCATGAAGCGCGCGCGCACGGGGAGCCTCACAGGAGTCCCCCGCCGGCAAGGTAGGTAACATTTGGCAACCCTAAATAGGCCACACCCAACAGCAGAAACTCATTAGGATTGGCTACATTAGGGGTGTGTGGCCTAACATGCAAAGGAGTTCCTGCTACAAAAAAGCCCTGGGTTTTGACAACAAACAAGGTAAACAGAATAACAAGCAAAAGGTGGGTGTGGCTGGATAACCACACTTCTGGTAACATGGAGGTGTGGCCTAATATGCCAATGAGTTGTGCTGTCAGAGGTGTGGCCTAATATGCTAATGAGTTTCTGCTGTTGGGTGTGGCCTATTATGCTAATGAGTTCCTGCTAGGCTTTTTCTACAAAAAAAGCCCTGTGTGTGACTATGCTTCAATCCCAGGTTTTGGATCAGAATGCTAGATACCAAAAATGGGATAAAGGGGATCTTTCAGAGCAGCTGGCTTGTGTAGGCTTGCTGTGCACATACTACATGTTAAGAGAGAATTTTTTTGCTGTCTGTCTGGTAGTGGTAAGGATGAGGCTCAGCCAGCCTTAAGCATAATTAGTTTATTCTCTCAAACAGAGGTCAATTCGGAGGGGATCGTGGGGGATCGCCGTTCCCCCGGGTGAGGTGCAGGGGGCGGGGCACATGATGAAGCCCCGCCCCTGCTTCCAGCCACCCCGCTTCCGGCCCTCATTCAGCCAGGAGGAGGCAGGAGAAGAGGGAGGGTAAGCTGCTTCCTCCCCACCTCTCCCCACCCCTGCCTGCCTGGGGCCAGGGAAGGCCTTGGCGGGGCTTCCTCACACTCCCGCCGGCCAAATTTATACAGTAGCCAAATCGCTCGCTCACAACTTTAATGCCAGGAACTCACAAAGTAGAATTTTTGCTCACAAGATTCCACAGCTTAGAGGGAACATTGATATGAGCCCAAGGAAAGGGCATCCAACTGGCTCATCCTCTTTTGCTACAGCAAGTGGAGGAGACACCCTACTTCCCTCTATTTTAGAGTGTTTCAAGCTGGCTGCCTGTTTGGGGAGAGGTAGGAATTTTCTGCCCCTTCAGCATAATTGGCAACAAGCTGTTCCCCCTCCACTCTGAAATAAAATAGTTTGCAGGCCGTGGTGAGGGAAAACTTTGCTTCAGTGGTACCTTGAGGCATTATTTTGGAAGATGAAGACCAGAAGCCTGGGACCTTGGTGCCCTCATGGACCTGGGGCAGGAACCTCTTGAGGGTTGCCATTAGCCTTGACCAATAGACTTTGTGGCTAGGGGATAGGATGCTGCACATCTCCTGCAAGCACTAAAGAAGGCTTGGCAAGGAGAAGCATCAGCCGTACCCATGTGATGCCTCAGGGCTTGGAGCCAGGGTGGCCTCGCCCATCAGATAAAGGATGCAGAAAACAAAGGAGGCCTGACTCTTCTGCATCTCACCAATTGCCTGCACTGCAGTTAAGTCTGGAATGGGGTTTTGGCCTGTGACTGCTGCCGATCCCTCTTGAGCAATGAAAATGAAGTTTGCCCTTTGATTATCCCAGCTTATGCTGTCATCTCTCGTTATTCCGTGGACAAAAGAAGTAGTAGAAGAAGAGATTGGATTTATACCCCACCCTTCACTACCCGAAGGTGTCTCAGAGCGGCTTACAAACTCCTTTCCCTTCCCCTCCCATGGTGGGGCTGAGAGAGCTCTTGACAGAAACTGCTCTTTTTCAAGAACAGCTCTTATCAGAACTACAACTTGCCCAAGGTCATCCAGCCAGGTGCAAGTGGAGGAGTGGGGAATCAAACCCGGTTCTCCCAGATCAGAGTCCGTGCACTTAACCACTACACCAAACTGGCTTTTCCCTAAGCATAGTGATAAGACTCTGATGCAGCTGCTCCCTCCCATCTCATACCTGCTGATGAGCGCTGTGTATGTATGTGCCTGCACTCATGTGCAAACTCATGCTAGAATTGCTCTCAGAGTCTAAAAAACAATGTCCTGTTTCACACTGAAGCCAAACAAACTAGAACATTAGGAAATGTGTATTATGTGTTTAGCCTCATATGCTATTTAGAAAGAGGCATACTTTTAATATTCTCTGGGATGCAAAATTGCTGGAGATTTATCCTTTGTGTTCTAGGTGTCCTTTACAAATGCAAAGCCATAGTCTTTCATTTTTGGATACGTTTTAAGGAACAGTATGATTTAACCGAGATGAACTTGGAGCACTTTTAATTCTAAGCATTGTTATTTAATATCTTGCCTGTAATAAATAAACAAGCGGGATTTATTTTTGGCAACTGAGGAGCATCCACTGCTGGAAGGTTTAAAATAGATGTCATGTGATACCAATAACTGTGAAGTGAAACTTAGTAGCCCTGTGAAATTCTACAAAATGGAGGGCAGTACGATACTCTTTGCTTTCAATAACATTTATTTTGCAATCTTTACTTTGTTTTGTTTCAAGCTCTTAATTAAAATCTCTTTGGCTTTACTGACTCATTTCTATATTGTGAAAGGGAACAGGAAAGAGGCTGCCAGGATAGCAGAAGAAATCTATGGAATAGCCCCAGGTAAAACAACAACAGCAACAAACAAACAAACTACGATTAAAGACACTAAATATTTCTGACACATATTGTGCTTTTTTTAGTGAAATGGTTAGAAATAATTATTTCTTTGCAGTAGTCCAGAATGAAACTGCTGATGATGTTCTTGCAGCTAATAGTGTGTGCTGGAGTGTATGCATATTCTAAAAAGACCTGTGCTTGAACCACAGTAGCATGTAGTTTTGCTTTGCTTGGAGTGATGTACCTTCATTGCTCTTGTTCTGTGTTGCACTGTGGTCTGGACTTTGCTGGGAGTTAATGCATGTAGGGGTCAGAGGGGTGGACTTTGATGGCCTTCAGGATTGCTTCCAGTACTTGGTGTCTTGAGTGGTGGGTTGATACCTAGTTATAGCAAAATTGCCTGACAGGAAACTTAACAGAGGTTTCCAGGGTGAAAAGTTCAATACAGATAGACTTATTTAATTGGACCTCAACAATAGTCTTCATGGCTTACATTTTGCCTAGTACTTTACTTAGTGCATTTTTATCCCAAGTCACCCACTACTAGCCAAGCACTCTAACCACTATGCCACTCCTTTGTAAGCTTAAAACATATGTGCAAAGTAGTAACTCTGTAAATCTTTAAAAGTAAAAATGTCAATAAAGTACAATTTCAAAAGCCATTTTGCCAGAACTGATTTTCTTTTCAGTTATGATGAAATGCTTAAAAGGATATTTTGAAAACCTCAGTATTCAGGTTAAATTGCCGTGTTGGCACTTTGCGATAAATAAGTGGGTTTGGGGGCGCAGTTTGGGCACTCGTTCTCTAAAAGGTTCACCATCACTGCTATAGCCTTATACCCTTGTAAGGTCCCTCTCCTCGCCAAATTTCACCCTTCCCAGGCTCCACCACCCAAATCTCCAAGAATTTCACAACTTGTAGCTGGGTTCTCAACCCTGGGCTACAGTTCCTCCTGCCAGCAGTGTTAGAAGGCAGTGTGTAGTTCTGTTCAGTCACAACAGTTTGTCTCACCAAAGCCTTTCCTATGTCATTTAATAACACAATTTTTAAATTAAAGCTGTTCACGGCTTTTGCCTCATACATGCTCGAGGTCTTTTTCTCTGCCAGGTTGCCTCCTGTAATTCTGTCTATTGGTATCATCTTTCAAAATAGTCATTGACCACTTCACCTCTGCTCTCAGTTAGATTGCAGACACACTGTCACAGTTAAGCTTTGAAGTAATGCCATCTAAAGAAGAAGGAGCTAAAGCTGGTGGATTTATTTCTATAACTTCCAACAAATCTCATCCTTCTGGGATGCCTTTAATAACTGGAGAGTTAAGAGAGGCCCCTTATGGGAACTACATTTGCCATACACTTCAGGGAGGTATGTTTTTTCTAGCCAGCATGGCATTACCTAGGTGTGTTTGTGCAAAGCCAACTGCATGTTTCTAATTTAAAAAGTGGGTGTGTACAACTCTTTATAGACTGCAAATGTTGTGTTCTCAGAGCAACATGTTGAAGATCAGTTATACTTAATGTCTAGGTTACCAAATCACAGCAAAGTAGCTATGTTTATCATTTGCGTTTAAGAGCACAAGGATTTGAGCAGTCACATTCGAACCTCAGCTATATTAAGCAGCAGGTCATATCAGTTTAGTATTTGTGTTACGATAAAAAGGGCATGTATATATGCTTAAAGTGCTGTCAACTTACAACCAACTTACGACAACCCCAACAAGGGGTTATAAAGGCAAGTGAGAAGCAGAGGCGGTGTGCCATTTCCTTCCTTGGTGGCTCCCATCTAAGTACTGACCCTGCTTAGCTTTTGAGATCTGATGAGATTGGGCTATACTATGCTGCCTTCTCTCCCCAAAAAGGGCACAGATTTTAATATTTCATTATAAGCAGTGAGTTTTTCTATTTCCTTATTGATCCTGGACTGGAAACAAAGGGACGGAAGCTCTGTTTGTTACCAGTGACCTTTCATGAGACAGTTTTCCCTGGAGCCTGCATGTCACTGTCAGAGGTGATCTGCCTAGGCTTGCCAAGTTCCCCCAGGGGGCGGGGAAACCCCCGCCACCGGTGGATCGGGCCCCGGGGGGAACCCCACCCTGACGTGCACGTCACCCGGAAGCGACGCAACCACGCTGGGCATGCTGGGGGCGGGGCCACGGTCATCCGAGGGAAAACTCTATGGTTTTCCCTCGGATGGTCGTGGCCCCGCCCCCAGCGTGCCCGGCGTGGTCGCGTCACTTCCAAGTGACGTGGATGCGGTGCGCGTGCTCTCTCCAGCTGCACGCCGGGAGTCTCCCGCTGCGGCGAAAATAATACTTGGCAACCCTAGCTCTGCCTCTGGCTACTAGATGCTGGGACAAATAACAGGAGAGGCTTGTGTCTTCATCCCATTTGTGAACCTTCAATGGACTTCTTACTTAGACATGGAAACACCCATGCAGGACTAGATGGACCCTTGCACAATATGATAGTCATCACATGCAGTTATTTCTCCACCTCTGTTCCATCTCATTGGCTGCTGTTGGCAGGACTGGGGAAAACGACATGAGAAGTGATCCTTGATGTTAGAGGTGGAGGAGGCTGCATGTCCTGAGAAATGTCAAAAGAACGTTTTGTCAAGCAAAAAAAAAAAAGCTTTGCAATGTTAGCATTTCTACGTCTTTAGACTTGTCTTTCAGTGGATGTTACCTTATTTTTAGGCTCATGGGCAGATAGGTCTCCTCTGCATGAAGCTGCATTTCAAGGACGCCTCCTGTCTCTGAAAACTTTGATAGCCCAGGTAAGAAATCCCAAGCAAAGAAATCCCAGGCTTTGCAGCACAACATATTTTCTAAATGAAGCTTTTTCTGTGACTTACTTAACAGAGTAGTGTATAGGAACAAAACAAATGCAAAAATGAAGTGTACAGATAACAAAATTAACGGGGCAGCAGCTTGCCAGTACTTTGTCAAGAAGAGTAAATGGAGGGTCAGTTCAGACAACTGCTGTGTGGGATCCCATCCCCCTCCATGGTTGTCCAAAGAAGTTATTATTATACACGTGGTTAAACAGGTCCAAAGGAGAGCAATGAACATAATAAGAGTTTCCAGAAGGCCATTCTTGTTAGTGCTATGCACCTTAGTGGGATATGTCATAGAAACCACCCTCCCGCGCAGCCATTTCCTCCAGGGCAACAGGTCTCTGTCATCTGGAGATCAACTGTAATTCTGAGAGATCTCCAGGTCCCACCTGGAGGTTGGCAACCCTACCAGTGTCCTTTTGTCCCTTGATAGTATTAGCAACAAATACCAACACATTTAGAGAGGAGACGTATTCCGGAGGCGGGGGGAGGACTTCTCTGCAAATGTGCATTCGGGATCTTCACCCTATGGTGACTTCAAGAAGCATGCTCATCATACTTTTCAAGATGTTTTGTCTTCCAGCATCACCCATCAGTATCCTCACTGTGGCTTCTTCCCACATGGCTTTGAGTGCACATGCATGGTGACAGAAACACAAGGGCAGGGACTAACTGCATGGTTTGATCTCATGCAAATATTGCTCTGCTCCCTGATGATGTGCAATGAGGCACATCATCTGCTCTGCTCATGTGGATCCTTCATGCACATGTTTCTGGAGCAACAGGGGGAAAAGCCATGGTGAAGCAGCTCCTGTGTTCATGCTAAAACAGTGAATCAGCCTCTACATAAAGAGGTAAAACATTACATTGAATGAGCACTATTAATGTTATTGTTTAGAAATTAGAAGACAAGACAGTGCCATCATTTTAATTTACATTATCACTTTTCCCCAAAGTAAATTAGAGAAAAATGATAGGAAGAAAGCGGTATCAAAAACTTTCCACTTTCCAGAAGAAGAGACCAATACTGCCCTCTTGTGAAGTTAAATGCAAGGAATTTTAAAGACTGTACCTTTTCAAAACAGTTTCTCAAATTCTAGTCAAATCCTCTGATTAGTGTTGTTGCTGGATATTTGCCAGTGTTTTATACTGAAAAGTTATAAAAATTGATATTATATGTGACAACTGTTGCTTGTAATATGTGAAATTTTGCTTGGTTAGCAGCAGTTTTCATTCAGCATTCTGTCCCTTTCTTTCTCTTATTAGTTTGGCTGCTGGAAAGGTTCTTCGGTTATTCTGGTATTCAATATCTTTCCCTTAAGTATGAATAAGCTGCCACGTGTTTAAAAATAAATAATAGGCAACATTGATATTTTGGTGTTTTACTCTGTTACATGAAACATAGCCTGGATTAAACCCCAGTTTATGATCCAGGGGAGAATAATTCTGATCATACTTAAAGGTAACTGGAATCAGTTTTTAATCTGTGATTCTCTGTGCAAGATGGGAGGAACAAGGGACATAAGCCAAATGATAATTTCACAATTAAGTAAGACAACCAGAGTGCCGCCCATTCGCTCACGGTCTTCAAATGCTGTATGCTATACTGTTCCTTTAGTTGACTGGCCATTAGCTATCATTCTGGGCTCATAGGTTGGAGCAGTACTACACTGTACAGTTTTGTGCATTAACTTTCCTGCAGTCCAACACAGTAAAACCCTTTTGAATCAAGTTTATCGATTGTACAAAGATATGGGCACTAGGACTGTTAAAACTGTACATGCTCCAGGATAATGATTCCTGATTCAAAAGAGTTTTTGCCAAAATAGAAACTATGTCTCTGACCATTGTACAGAATACCTTGTAAAAAAAACCAAGTAGAAATACTATTCTTTCTTATTACATGTTATTTCCTTCTCCTACATCATTGTTCTGAGTTCTAGGGATTCAACGTGAACATTGTTACAATTGACCGTGTTACTGCTCTCCATGAGGCATGCCTGGGAGGCCACGTTGCCTGTGCAAAAGTCTTACTGGAGAATGGTGCTCACGTGAGTATTACAGTATGCCCTGTTTTTCTGATGCTGCCCCTTATGGTATCTATGTGGGTGCGTCAAATGATCTTAATAGTGCCTGTTACAGGAAGGGGCAGGGCCATGCAGGGGTTTGTGGAGGACATAAGAACACAAGATATGCCAATGTTGGATCAGGCCAGAGGCCCATCCAGTCCAACACTCTGTGTCATCCAGTGGCCAAAAATACCAGGTGCCATCAGGAGGTCCACCAGTGGGGCCAGGACATTAGAAGCCCTCCCACTGTTGACCCCCCCCCCCAAGCACCAAGGACAGGACATCCCTTCCAAGGATCCACCCTCCACTTCCCTTCTGCCACCTTCAGCCCTAGAGCAAGCAAGGGGCTTGGCTGGCTTCCACCACTCTTTTCAAGGACTTGACTGGGGAAGACCCAGTGCACTCTCCCTGACACTCAGGCAGCTCCCTCTTCAGTCAGGACCTGCCCACTGTGTTGCCAATATGAAACGTGAACAAAGAATGTAGCAATAAATGAAGTAAGAAAAGAATTATGCAGATATTTCAGATTAACACAGGGCAAAACGTCTAGGGAGAGAAGGTGGCTAGAAAAGAGTAAGGTTCCCTAGTGACTATCTGACTGGATTCCTATCATTATTTCAGTATGTGAGCCCCTTGGTCAGGGTTGCCCTCTTTGGGATGTGAAATCATCTTCCTCTGCCAGTGGCCTGACAGCTGCCCAGGCTCTGAGAGTGAACACCATACCTCCCTGTGCAGGGCCCTAAGGTTACCAACCTCTATGCGGGGCCTAGAGAGCTCCTGGAATTAAAACCCATCTCCAGGCTACAATGATCAGTTCCCCTGGGGAAAATGGCTGCTTTGGAGGGTCGACTTTTTGTCATTACATCCCACATAGTTCCCTCCCCCCACCCCCACCCTCCCAGGTTCCACCCCACCCCCCAAACCCCCAAGTATGCTTTTCATCAAAGTTCTGCCTCTTCAACGGTGATTGGCTTGTGCTTTTCCCTTCATTTTCCCCAGTCCAATCCTGAGGCTTGGACAGTGCCTGGGTAATGTAGGCCTGCAGGAAAATTAGCAGCAAGACCTGTGGCCTCTGCATGAGGGGGAAGTTGTTTTGAGGTGTACAAGATGCTCCACTCCTCAGCCTTAGGCCTAGGATCTTGACAGTATCTAAAAAGAATAAGATCGCCAATACAGGCAGAAAATCCTAACCCCCTCCCTCTCCCTCCCTCCCTCCCCAGACAGTTGCGCTGCTCATTCCTTTCAACCCCTCCCCCTCCCTCCCTCCCTCTCTCTCTCTCTCTCTTCAGTGTTCAGTAGCAGTGGGAAAAGGCAAAACTCCATTTTAAGCAGTATTAGGAAAACAACTGAAATAAAGCAACCATTTTAATGTCTTTATTTGAAGATTTCGCACACGTTATCTTTGTGGAATGTGACAGTAGATTCAGGAAAAACTAAAGCAAGGACTTCACACTGGGGCAGATTGACTTTTAGGGCCACCAGGAAGAGTTCTGGTGGGCTGATGTTCTGTGGGGCTCACTCCAACCACTGGAGCAACCCTAACCCAAGGGCCACCCCAGCCAAAGAGAGCGGCAGGCACACTGGAGGTGTGGGGAAGAAGGGCTTGCTGTGGTGAGAGTCATGTCTCCCTGGCCCAACCTTATCCAGCCTCATTGAGGGGCAGGAGTCCAGCACATACCTGCCTGGCCTCACCCAGCCTACCGCTCAGTTTCTCTGGGTACATCCTGCTTGGGGCTGGCCAGACAGGGTCCCCCTCTTTCCTTTAAGGGGAGCAGGGCCCCCGCTTCACACAATCTATTATTTATGGATTTTGTTACTACAAAATATGGTAACTGTCATTGGCTTAGACAGTTTGAAACCAAGTAGACAAATTCAGGCTGAGTTCAGACTGGCAGTTTGAAGCGGGTGGGAGTCCCGGTCACACTGCACCGACTGATGCGGGAGCATACCGGGGAGGAGGTGCAGGGGAGTGTTCACACTGCTGGCGGAGGCACAGCTGTAAGGCGCGGCTTTCTTTTTAGTAATCTGGAGATATGCACATGTGCGCATAAGCGCACAAGAAGAACCATGGCTTTTGGTGTTCAAACTTTGTTGGTGTGGGATGGACGCGGGATAATCGCGCTTTCCAAGGTTTTTTTGTTTTTTGTTTTAATCCCCTGAAAACAGGGTAGTTTTATTGGTTTTTGTTACACCTACGTGACTACAGAAAAAGAAAAGAAAGGGGGGGAGAAGGGGGGGGGAGAAGAGGAAAAAAAAATAACAAACTAAAATAACAAACCCCGGGATACAGACAGTAAGAAAGAAAGAATCCCCACTATAACTAAAAACCCAAGAAAGAAAGGTCATTAACAGTTAGTATACAGTTAGTTATAAAACTTAAAGCTTTTCGTTTAAATCAATGAAATAGGGAGTTAGTGAGTCCATTTTAGTAAATGTCTATTTTCTTCCCAGTATGCACCAAGACTCTTTCATCCAGTTCAGTTATAAATCTTTCAGTTCATAAGAGCTACTTGGGTACTCTTAGCCGCAAGTCGTATGTATCTCTGGCCGCGCCTCCTTCTGCTCCTGCTGGGTCTCCGTCCATCTCATCCAGGCTGTCTGCCTGGCCCCCTCCGCCTGGCTGCTGTTCCTTTTCCGATCCAAAAAACTGCTCCAACCATTCTTCTGCTTTAAACACCGAGTCAATTTTTTCTTTCTTATCGTATTTGAACTGCACTCCCTCTGGAAAAAGCCAGGAATATTGAATTTGGTTGATCTGAAGTGTTGAAATAAGCTCTTTGTAAGCTTTTCTTTTCTGCCGAACCTCAAATGGAACGTCCTTTAGGACCCTGATGATTGCTGATCCCAGCTGCAGGGGTTTGGTTTCTGGCGCTTTGAGAATATCATCTCTTGTCTGACGTTGGAGAAACTTGACTACAATCTCGCCCGGCAAATTGTTCTGCTTAATATATTTAGAGTAGGATCGATATACCACTTCGATCTCTGCTTGCGCTTCAGCCTGTGTATTGCCGAGCGACAGTACGATTAGCACTGTTGCTATCGCTTTCAAGTTTTCTCCTGCCGTTTCAGCCACCCCTTGAAATCTGAGAACCTTGTTGGCTCGATCCATCTGTAGATTCAATAGCTTCCTCTCATGGAGATCTTGCTTTTGCTCCAAAAGACCAACCTTTTTCTTCATCTTTTTAGTATCGTGTGCTGTCTCTTTAAGCTTTTCGTCAGTTTGGATTGACTTCTTCACAAGCTCGGTGATCTGCTGTTGCTGTTTCACCATGCTCTGATTCGAAGCAGCCATCAATTGGTTAAGACCATCGAATCTCTCGTTTATGGGCTGGAGCAGCTCCTTTAACATGGAGAAAACATCTCCTTCGTCTACTCTCGGACTTTGACCACCTCTCGCAGTTTTCGTTCCTCTCCCACGAACGCCGGCCATTTTCAGCTTTGTTTATACTAAAGAGAGCCATTTTCACTCTTCTTCAGCAAGTGCAAATTTACCAGCAAAAATAAGCTAAGTCTTTGGCACACTTGAGTGCTTTTTATTTCTCCTCTCCCCCCTCTCTTTAAAACACAGTTCGGTTTGTTTACGTCTGGGAGTCACTCCCGGCGCCGCTAGAGGTGGTGGGGGGGTCGGAACTCACTTTTAAAACTTTTTCGCTCGACTTGCTCTCCGATTCATTGACGGTCTGATCACAGACACCTCTTAGTCGCGCTTCATTCGCTGACCTTCTAGCTTGTCCCGGCCGGCATCAGCTATGCTCGGTAAAAACCGAGCCTCACAGGGGGTGGACTGAATGGGGCAACAGGAGCGCCTCAATTCTCCAGCTTCGAGCCATCGAAGAGGTCGCCCCTCAAGCGCCCCCGGCTTGGAGCCTCCACCCTGAGGCTCACCTGGGGGTGCCACTTGAGGTGGCACTCCTCCAACACCCCTAGAGCGCGGAATGCCTCCCCTGCTTCAGGGGAGAGCCTCCGCCATCGCTGAAGCCACAGACCAGTTTGATACCATTTTCACCTGATATCTATTAAACTCGGGAGGGAAGCGTTACAAGACGAGTTGAGTAGGGCTGGGGAACGCCTGACAGATGTGCCTGTGTGAACGGCCTCTTTCATCCGTTTGTGAAACGTTTGCCCCCCCAGACGGAAGTAATAGTCAGACAACAAGGTTGGATGAAATAAGGCCACTTTGTTAAATTATTATTTTTTTTAACTTAACGGCAAAGGGCAACCATGAAAAACAGCAACGTGGCCGGGCCTGGCGTCGCTTCGACTCCCATCCTCAGGCCATATGAGGCAAGACACCGGTGGCCCCCCGGGTTGGAGCCAACCATAAGTCGCTTGCAATCCCGGCTGAGCCAAAATTGGGATGTGCCCTCAGGAGCCCTCAAGCACCACCGCAAGGTAGATCAACCATTATTGGCGAGGGCAGTTCAAGGGAACCTTCCCATTCAGAGGCATCAGGCCATTGTGCTTCTGAATACCAGGTTGAGATACCAGGCATGAAAAAACAGGGGTGCTCATGCTGTTCTAGGAAGCCTAGAAGCAGAATATCTGGCAAGCTACTCTGAGAAACAAGATGCTAGACTACATGGGGCCCTCTTGTATTATTAAGTGTTCTCTTATATAGAGGTTTGTGCTTGCTTCTTGTGTTTCATGAGAGCCAAGAATTTAAATATCGACTATCATAGCATTTTAGGCAATTTTAATTACATAAAACTCCAATACTGGTGTTCAAAAGTTTCATCTTTTATGTTCATCAAGGTTATACATATTAATTGCCTGTCACATATTTTAAAAAATGGTTAAGATAGAATGATCATATCGGAAGAAGTGTTCGCCCAGAGATCACAACCTTTTAGGCAGTGAATTATTTTATGTTTTGATTGCCTGTTATTATTATTACATTAATATGTAATTGCCATCTCATCTGTTAATTATATTTCCCTTTTGCCTAGTAAAAGTTTCAGTGTAACTCAGATGCTTTCACGCCAATAACTGTTTTAACAGAATCTACTTCAACTAATTTCTAAATAGATCAGTAGTCCATTAAATGTTCCATGGACAACCTTGCCTCTCAGGGAAATTCAAACAGTGGGTTGGTCACCCAAAGAGTGATCACCCAGAGTGATCAACACTTGGAATTCACTGCCACAGGAAGTGGTGGCGGCTACAAGCATGGGCGGCTTCAAAAGGGAATTAGATACGCATATGGAGCAGAGGTCCATCAGTGGCTATTAGCCACAAGGCATAGATAGGGACTCTGAGGCAAGTGATGCTCTGTCTTCTTGGTGCTTGGGGGGGGGGGCAACAGGGGGGGGCGTTCTTCAGTCCTGGCCCCACTGATGGACCTCCTGATGGCACCTGGTATTTCTGGCCACTGTGTGATACAGAGTGTTGGACTGGATGGGCCTTTGGCCTGATCCAACATTGGCGTCTCTTATGTTCTTATGTGCTTATGACCCAAATTCCAGACTAAATTTTCTGCTCACGCAAGGCACTTCTGTCAGTGGAACAGATCCTGCTGCAGGCCACTGATTTCCCCAGAACGCTGCTTGTGGGTTACAGATACAGCGTGAGAGGAAAACTGGGGGTCTGCAGAACAAAGGGAAATCAGTGGAAATTATCCCCACCCCTTCCAGCAGTGGAAAAGTTAATCTGGATCTAATTCAATAGGTTGTGTCCTACCACCATATGCAGCTAAAGGCTGCCACATTCTGCCAGTACAGAGTGCATTCCACAGACACAAGAGACTATTACATTAATTGAGCAACATTTTCTCTGCATGGTGGTTGGGCACAACCCATTGCCTTTTCCATCCCTGCTGTCTGTGTTTATGTGGGCAATCTAGCTCAAGATCACCCAGTGAACTTCATAGCAGAATAGGATTTGACCCAAGGTCTCCCAGTCCACTCTAAATACAACTCACTTTCATGCTGCACTTCTCCATTAACTTTCTTATCATTCCTTTTTTTTTTTTTGCAGTTTATTGTCATATCTTATGTTGTGAGCCGCCCTGTGAACCAATTTGTGGGGATAGGGCGAGGTATAAATTTAATAAATAAATATATTAATGTAAAATAGTATTTCTAAGGTAATCTTATCAATGTATTAAGTGTAGTTCTCATACCTACGATACAAAGTGTTGAAATCCCTCAGAACATCCATTGTTTCCTCCGTTTTCTCTCCCCCCTCCCCCAACGTTTCAGGTCAACGCAGCCACGGTCGATGGGGTCACACCTTTGTTTAATGCTTGCTGCAGTGGCAGTGCAGCTTGTGTCAACATGTTGCTTGAATTTGGAGCCAGGCCACACCTGGAGAATCATTTTGCTTCCCCAATTCACGAATGCGTAAAGAGAGGTAATGGCAACTGTATTGGATCATTCTAGCTGTAAACAAGGACCTTGGATTCTGTGCACAGCTTGTCGAACACAGCCTAGGGGTGCTTAGTGTTGCCACTGATTGTGGGGGGGGGGAATTCAGACCCCTCATTTTTCTCCCTCTTTTGATTCACCATTGCTGGCCAAAAGAAGAGGAAAATCAGCAAACCAGCCTAGGGTGTTGGGGTGCTGTAGAAGAAGAGATTGGATTTATACCCCGCCCTTCACTACCCAAAGGAGTCTCAGAGCGGCTTACAAACTCCTTTCCCTCCCCCTCCCCACAACAGACACCCTGTGAGGTAGGTGAGGCTGAGAGAGCTCCGACAGAAACTGCTCTTTTCAAGAACACCTCTGACAGAGCTACGGCTTGCCCAAGGTCATCCAGCAGCTGCAAGTGGAGGAGTGGAGAATGATACCCGGTTCTCCACGCACTTAACCACTACACCAAACTGGCCTTCTGTAGAGGAGGGTGGTTTCTTTGACAAAAGGATCTTTGAGTAAATTAATTTTTCCCCACTGCACCATTTCCCCCCCCCCCGATTCTGCATTGGTGTGGTCCTCTTTTATGGTTTCCAAAGGGGCAGGTTATCTCTTTCTCTTCTAGATAGATGTGTTTTCACTCAAAATACCCTCTTCTTCCAGCAAAGCAGTTTGAGGTAGGGTTGCCAAAATTTTTTTGGCCGGGGGCGGGGGGCTCCCGGCCGGCGTCTTAGGCGCGCGCGCCGCGTGCGCATCACCCGGAAGTGACGTCGCACGCTGGGGGCGGGGCCACACCATTTGAGGGGAAAATTCTTTGTTTCCCCCTCAAATGGCATGGCCCCGCCCCCAGCATGCGACATCACTTCCGGGTGACGTGCACGCGGGGGTGGGGTTTCCCCCGGGTCCTGATTCCGCGGGAGCGGAAATCGGGGCTCGAAAGCGGGGGGAATTCTGCCCCCCGGGGGCATTTGGCAGCCCTAGTTTGAGGGATTGTTTCAAACATAAGAAAAAACTGGAGAAGAAACGGTTAAGCAGGCCTTCTGTAATGCCATTCCTCCATTTCATCTAACAACTTTCCAAGATTACTTTAGGTTTTAAAAATATTGGGAGAAAGTTGCATATGGATTGTGCCTTGCATCTAGTTTGGACCTCAGACATGGCATAACACAACATTTTATGTTGTGATCACAGAACGTTAAGACTTGAGAGATTCCTTATAAGCAGTGATAAACATTTAGCAAGAATCTACCCCGAGCTTGCTTGCTTATTTATTATTGTGGTGGAAAGCACCATCAAGTCGCAGCCAAGTAATGGTGACCCGATAGGATTTTCAAGGCAAGAGATAAACAAAGGTGGTTTGCCATTGCCTGCCTCCGTGTAGCAAACCTGGACTTCCTTGGTGGTCTCCCTTTTACATATATCTCATGCACTGTTCCCAGAAGGCCTTGCATCTAGGCACTGACCAGATCTGGACTGGCTTATCTTTACCAAGATTACTGTATCATAGGCCTGCGAATCATGTCTTGATGATAACTGAGAGTGACCTTTTGCCTATTCTCCCCTCTTGTAAAGAGCACAGCATACCTCCCTTGCTTGAGGATGCTAGATGCGTTTCATTTAGCACAGTTGTTATTAGATGTGCCTATAGGTCATGCCTATAGGTCATCGTCTCAGTTTCTGGCATAATATAAACATGTGATAATATGTTTAGAATCATTTGACTGTGGAAGATTTACACAATCACTGTATCTGTTGTAGTCGTGCTCAATGAGGTTCTTTCTTCACTGTGTTCATTTAGGTCACAGGGAGTGTATGGAAATTCTTTTAGCCAATGGTGTGGATGTAGACCAAGAAGACCCACGGCTTGGAACGACTCTTTATGTGGCCTGTGTGAATCAAAGGACAGACTGTGTGAAGAAGCTCTTAGAACTAGGTACGCTTATGTGTGTGTTTAAGGGAGGGGCACACACATGAGTTTTATTTGACAGATTGGATGAGCTCTTTCTGGCATGGTATTTCAGTCCAATCTGGCCCCTTCCACATTGCTACCAGGTATATATCAACAAACCCAGAGCAATCTCTGAATCCCTGGCCCTATGTATATCATCGCTTAAAGACCAATATATAAAGATATGATGTGCATGAGTGAATAGCCCAATCAGAATTCAAACATCATACACAGACTTCATTATCAATTTAGGCATGACTTTCAGTTGCACCAGTCTCACCTCCCCCCCAGTAAAGCAGGTTGTAAAGAGAACCTGATATATACATAAGTTTGAATGGGCTATCTATATGTCTGGCTTCTCACTTTCAACATAGGGGTGCCCTAGGAAAATGAGTCCACCACTTTCTAGTTATATTTCCACACTCAAAGTGACAGATTTGGCAGCATTAGGAAGCTACTACATAAACATGTGGTTGGATTCCACAACTCTGTTCTGTGGCCTGTGGAACAGGAAAAAAAAAGAACTGGAATAATAATATTTATGCACACCATTACTGTGTCCAGGCATTTCATGTATATTCTGTTGTTCTTCCACGTAAGGGATGTCATGTTGTTATCTCCATATTGCAGATGTGGGGCAGAAACTGTGGAAAGTAGATTGGCTGAGTCTACCTAGTGAATTTATGGCAGAGGCAAACTTAACCTGGAAGTTTCTGATTCATAGCTCAAACTCTCACTTTATGCAGTATTAAGTGATAATTATATTATGTGAGAAGAATTACTGACGACCAATTTGAAGTTGGGGTGAGTGGGTGGATGAGATGAAGAACCCAGAGGAGTATCTCCTTGGATAACTTAATGGACTGTCAGCACTGCTGCATTAGCAGAGACCCCTTGGTTCTAGTTGATTTACATTCATGAGCAACTTTCCCAGCTGATTTATATCTGCTGACTAAGAGTCTTTTAAAGACTCTGAATTGTACTCTTCTTCAAACCAGTCTAATATTCTTTTGTAATTGGCTCAGTAATGCTAATGCCTGGCCTTGAGGAACATTCTTTTGTCTTTATTAACTGCCTGGAGATAAAAGGTTGGGAAATGTAGCTACTCTTGCCACTGCATTGCCAATGAGGCGAGAAGCTGAGCCTTGGACACCTCCCAACCAGTTGGGTATTAAAGGAGCAGAAGCTGATGTTTTGGTATTCCTGCTTGCCAGATGTTTAAAGTATGTTTCTTATAATCAAATCCTTGAATCCATCATCATTATTGATGAATTTGACATGCTGTTTGTTCAGGCTGTACAGAAGTTCACCACAGCATATAATCCCTGTCTGCTCCCCTGTCTCATTTTTAGTCATGATTATACACACGTCTGGTGCTCTTATATATAGTCTTTAAAGGGATGGTCCAGTTTTAACAAATAATATTAAAAGAGGAAATCAAAAGGAGAAGGAAATCTTCAGCTTGCTCTCTTTTGGCTGTTTCTTGTTTCCATGTAATTCTAACCAGTAATTTTTGTGCCTTCTTTCCAAGGAGCGAGTGTTGACCTGGGTAAGCAACTAGACACTCCACTTCATGCAGCTGCTAGAAAATCCAATGTGGAAATTGTCAACCTATTAACAGACTATGGGGCCAGTTTGACATGTCGAAATTCTGAATTCAAATGTGCTCTTGATCTTGCTGCTCCCAATAGTTCTGTCGAACGGGCATTGTTGCTTCGGGAAGGTAATGGCTCAGAGTCCTAGCAAATTACTAATTGGGGTGGGTAGGATGATATTTCTGTTTTGCTTGTCCACATGTTTTCCCACTGTACTACCTCAACTCTGAGGAGTGCATAGTAGCATATATTGTAATGGTTCTGAATAACTTCTTGGAGATGGATAAGGTCATGAACTGGAGCTCAGTCCAAAAAAGAATGAGTTGCTGTTGGGTGACCATATAGCTATTCTGGATGGGGTTGCAATCTCTCTAAAGGAACAAGTTCACAGTTTGACTGTGCTATTAGACCAGTGCTTATAAAAGGACACTCAGGACTCCTGTGGTATTCAGTTCCTTTAACCAAATTCAGTTGATGTGCCAGGTGACACCTTCTTTGAGATGTGAGATCTGGTTACAGTTATCCATATTCTGATGATTTCTAGGTTAGATACCGTAACGTGAACTGCATCCATACACTGATGGATATTGCACTATTGTTGAGTTATAGCAATCATTTGCAACTGGACTGGATGATTCACACAGGAATACTCAATTGCAAATGATTGCTACAGTGCAATATCTAGCATAATGTAGGTGCAGTCATACACTATATGGTACCTTTAAAGACTGAAAACTTAAAATGATTCAGAATGTAGTAGCAAGATAGTTGACTGACACAGGTTAAAGAGAGTACCTTGTACTGATTTTAAAAGAACTAGATTGGTTGACAATTGCTCCCAAAATGCTGGCTATGTCCTTTAAATAGGGGTCCTAGTTGCCAGCTTACAACAGGCAAACTCCTGGCCAAGCTTCCCATCCCCCACCTGTGCTCAGTGAAGCAGCACAGGAAAACTGGGGAGGAGACGTTGCTCAACAGGGCTACGTAATTTCCAGGTGAAATTTCCAGTGGTTTCCCAGAGGGTCCAAATGATCCACTCTGAGGCCAGAATATTTGAAGTTCCATCTATTCTCATACAAATCTCCCCATCAACTGATACCTATAATTGAGGATTCAGAGTTGAGGTGGGCAGGGCCAGAGATTAAGCCTTTGCTGTAGAAAGGGCATTGAGAGAGATTTGCCTGATACTAAGCTTTTATGTCTCTTACATTGTAAGGCTCAAGTTGATTAGTCACATAGATATCCCGGACTGGATCGTAGAGGCCTTCAGCCTATGTTAGTAAGACAAGTTAATGGTGGGGAGTGGGGGGGGGCGTTCTGATTATATTCCTTTGATTCATCTGAAATCCAGGATATCTATCTATCTATCTATCTATCTATCTATCTATCTATCTATCTATCTATCTATCTATCTGGAAATTACTGTGGTTAATAGAAAGTGTTTCTATGCATTTTAGATTTGAAACCCATAATTAATTATATTTTTGCACATTGATTGTAATGCTTAGGTATGTTTGAGTAGTCTTGAATTCACACTTACGTTTTTCCTTTCTTTTTCTTCTAGGCCCTGCTAGCCTTGCCCAGCTATGCCGTCTGTGTATTCGAAAGTGCTTGGGCCGATCCTGTTTTTATGTAGTCCACAAACTATCCCTCCCTGAGCCACTTGAAAAATTTCTTCTGTTTCGATAGTTTTATAATTAGGTTGATCAAGTGAAGGATTGATAAGCATGGGGGGGCAACTTGTTTACTCTCAAAATATTAAACCAAGGTGAAATTAAAACACAGGTTACCACTATTCTATACTAGGGATGGGCACGAACTGGAAAAATGAGGTTTGGTTTGTGGCATGTCCCATTCGTGAACCACAGACCATCATGAACTTTTGTGAGGAGGTAGAATCCCCTCACAGAGGATCTCCAGCTGTCTCTCCTCTACCTGCCCTTCAAGTTTGGTGAGGATTAGGCCCCCCAAAAGAAGATGCCCCCAGGAAAGTGATTTCTGGGGAAATGAATGCCACAAACTTGACTTTGTGAACCACAAACTTGCTAAAATTCATTATGAACATTAGTTCGTGAGGCAGTTCATGCCCATCCTCACTCTGTACTACATGTTCAAAACTACTGGTGTTAGAAAGCTGCATGGAACAGTCGGTTATGCATTTATGTTGACTTCTAGACAAAACCCTTTCTAGAGGCTGTTGAAGTTCCACTGCACATATGACATTTTGTCTCAATAAAACAGCTTCTGAACCACATGTAATTGCAGCAAAACAGATGTTCTCTTTTGCATGTGACATTATATACAGGATCAGTGAAGCTGGAAATGCAGTTAGTACAAAGTAACATTAGCCTCTAGCTGTGTTAGTTAAGCACTGTCCTGTAGCAGTCAACATTTTTTTAAAGTACATTCTGTTCAATAGACATGAATGTTACAGTATGGAAGGCTAAGGATTTCTGAGATGCACTTGGAATATGGTTGGACTTGTACTGTAACCACATTCCACCATAAGCTACTAATCATACCTGTGGTTCCTTGTGAGCCCTCCCAGAAGGGCAATGAGAAGCTACTTTGAGACTATCAAGCCAAATGAGCTTGGTCAATGTCTTTTTAAAACAGACCTAGAAACCTGTATGGACAACTATGCTATCTTTTCATCTGTAACCATATCAAAAATTTGCATTGTCCTTTCTTTCATTTGGAGGATTTGTACACTGTTTCCATTGCATAGTGATTTCAGAACTCACTGCTTGATATGCAAAGAGAGTACTATCAAAAGGAAGCCAGGAATACAGTCAGAGCTCATCAAAAATATATTAACACTTCCTACAATATTTTCTCTAGAATAATTTCCCAAAACTATTAGAAGCTTACAGTACCACAACACTATACCATGTAAAGGTGCTACACCTGTAGGATTTTGGCGTATTTTAAAAAATTTAAAGTGATGAAACTTTTTTGTTCAAACACAATTAAAATCTAAAATGAAGCAGTCAATACTGTGACTTTAACCCACACTGATCTTTATGCATTTCCTTTTAAGTCCATTAAAATCCGGTTGAAGAAAACAAATCTTGATTATTGTATGATATTTGTTGTTCAGTCACACAGTCAAGTCCGACTCTTCACGACCCCATGGACCACATCACGCCAGGCCCTCCTGTCTTCCACCGTCCTCCAGAGTTTGCTTAATTTCATGTTCGTTGTATCTATTACAGTGTTCAACCATCTAATCCTTTGCCATCCCCTTCTTCTTAGACCTTCAATCTTTCTCAGCATCAGGGTCTTCTCCAGTGAGTGCTCCCTTCTCATTTGGTGGCCAAAGTATTTGAGCTTCAGCTTCAGTATCTGGCCTTCCAGGGAACAGTCAGAGTTGATTACTTTTAGGATTGACTGCAGTACAAGGGACTCTCAAGAGTCTTCTCCAGCACCATAGTTCAAAAGAATCTATTCTTCGGCACTCAGCCTTCCTTAGGGTCCAACTCTCGCAGCCATACATTACTAGTGGGAATACCACTGCTTTGACCATATGGACTTTTGTTGGCAGGGTAATGTCTCTGCTTTTTATTATGCTGTCTAGGTTTGTCATAGCTTTCCTCCCAAGGAGCAGGCGTCCTTTAATTTCATGGCTGCAGTCATTTAAATATTTGGATAATTTATCACACAGTGAGAGACAGCAAAGTAGATGGAGAGTTGGGTTCAGATCCCTACTTAGTCATACAGCTTCCAGGATGATCTTAGATGAGTCTCTGTGTAAGCCTAACTTCACAGGTTTGTTGTGAGAAGAAAATGAGGAAGCAGAGAGCCCCAGATAAGCTCCTTGGGGGGAGGGGGAAGATGGTTTGAAAGTGTGATAAAACATGCTTTCACCTAGCTCAGGAACAGAATCTTGAATTTTAAAAATACACTAAGATTCAGTGTATGAAAAATTGTTCTTGTGACTTTCCACAAAGATAAATCTGTAACAGAGGGTCCATTACTGAATACTATAATTTTCCTGCCTCAGAAACACTGGGGGGTTTTGGTGGATGCTTTCTGTAATTTCCATTGCTGTTAGAATTCTGAGCTCTTGATGGAGCAATAAGGAATTTCTTCCTCCATAAAACTTTGTAAGAAAGCACATCATGTTGTTAATTGTCTCACATGAAATACAGCAATCATTGTGACAACTATATGTCAAATGAACATGAGGTATTTTCATAGCCTTAGTAGGCAGTTGCTGAAAGAGTAAGTGTAACCCAGGTGTTGGACCCAAGGGCAAGCTCAAGGTCTAGGGTCTCCTTTCTTAAAGCCCCCCACTCATAAAGTTAAAGGTAAAGGTTCCCTTGCTCGAAAGCCAGTCGAATCCGACTCTAGGGTTGCGGTGCTCATCTCCGTTTCAAAGCCGAAGAGCCAGCGCTGTCTGAAGACGTTTCCGTGGTCATGTAGCCGGCATGACTAAACACCATGGCGCACGGAACACTGTTACCTTCCCACGAAGTGGTACCTATTTATCTACTTGCAATTTCTTGCTTTCGAATTGCTAGGTTGGCAGGAGCTGGAACTAGAGACGGGAGCTCACTCCGTCATGCGGCAACCCGGGTCTTGAACTGCTGAACTACCGACCTTCCACAGCCTGCAGTTCAGCGTCTTAACCACTTGAGCCACCCCACTCTTACACCTACTCATATTTCTTTCTCCCATATCAGGGGTCATTTCTTAGAAAAAGAGCTACAGGAGCTTATTAGCATAACTTATTAGCGTATGCCACACCCTCTGACATCACTGGAAGTGTGCACCAGCCCCTCTGACAGGCAGAAGCACCTGGGATCCATTCTTTCCCCCCTCTCCCTTCCCTTCGCCTCCATGTCGGGTGAAGGAAAAGGGGAGGGTGAGGATCTCAGGCGCTTCTGCCTGACAGAGGTGCTGGCGTGCCCACAGCCAGCCTGGGTGAATTATAGAATCATAGACTCATAGAGTGGGAAGGTACCTCCAGGGTCATCTAGTCCAACCCCCTGCACAATGCAGGAAATTCACCAATACCCCCCACACACCCCAGTGACCCCTGTTCCACACCCAGAATATGATTTTAAAAAAACTCCAGGATCACTGGGGGCCAAACTGGCCTGGAGAAAAATTGCTTCCTGGCCCCAAAGTGGTGATCAGCATTTCCCTGGGTGTGTAAGAAAGGGCCACAAGAACTAAGCACTGATGCAACCCTTCCTGCTCTACCTCTAGTGATTTGCCTAAGTTCACACAATCAGCATTATGATCCTTTTAAAGTTGAAAGCATGATATAAATGCAAAGGACTATTTGTAAGATTATCTGTAAGACAGAAGACCAGGACGCATCTCACTTCTGGCAATCACTTGGAGAGACCCTATCACTCAGCTTCCATTGCCCCCCACACACCCCACACTAGAATAAGAACATAATATCAGGCCATAGCACATTGCAATAAAGCCCCTACAACTGTATACAGAAATACTGAGCTTCCCTACCATTTGCCACAACTAGCCCACCACACAACCAGGATCAAGACTCCTAAATGGACCAACAGACAGGCATAGACTTGTTTGAGAAACTGAGTATTACATTACAATACCTCTGGAACATTACAGATCAGTAGAGGCAGCACTGCACAGTGGTCAGAGTTGCAGATCGATGTTGGGAGACC